CGAACCCTACCCACACACAACGGCATCCAAACCGTATTCACACCCTCAAGATGTTGTTTTTATTTCACACCCACATCCATCACACCCTAGAACAATTCTTAAATTTTATTAAATCGAAACAGTGATAATATTCCATTGTTTTCATCTAATAAAAATATTCAAACAGAATTTAATCAAATATAAAAACATCTTTTCAAGATCCAAATTATATTTATAAAATTATTTCAAATTTTACAATTCGATTATTTCCCAAATCAACTACATAAAGATTTCCTTCATCATCAAACGATAAACCCTTGGGTTGATTCAATTGCTTTGGTTCATTTCCTGTACCATTTCCACCAACAAGAATTTCACCTTCACTTTTTCCTTCACACCAACGCATTATTCGATCATTCCCAAAATCTGCCACATAGATTTGATCCAAATTATCAACAATTACTCCATAAGGTGAAGACAATTGACTGAGATTTCTTCCTTGACTATTTCCTCCAGCCACAACTAGTCCTTCTTTTGCATCTTTTCTCCATTTCATCACACGATGATTACCTATATCTGCTACATAAACAGATTGATCATCATCAACAAAAATAAAACCAGGATTATTGAGTTGATTGCGTTCACTTCCTTGTCCGTTTCCACCTGCCACTACACCTCCTTCATTGTTATATTCTCCCATTTTCCATCGTCTTACTGCATTATTCTCACGATCAGAAACATAAAGAAATCCATTTTTATTCATTGCCAAGCCATAACAGTCAATATCATCGATGAGAATTTGTTGCTTTTGATTTAACCATTGAATCACTCGTCTGTTCTTATAATCAGCAATGATGATCGAATGATTCTGTTGATCAACAATTACATCAGTTGGTCGATTCAATTGATTCATTCCATTTCCTCTGTCATGTCCACCTGCAATGATTTGTCCTTCCTTTGCATTATATTCCCATTTAACAATACGATGATTTAACCAACCATCAGCAATAAAAATATTTCTATTTCTATCGATAAATATCCCTCCAGGGCCATTGAGTTGATCTAATTTTTGTCCTTCTCCATTTCCACCAGCAACGGTGATGGCATTTTGTTTCCATTTGTTGAATGTTGGTCCTAGAAAATGATGAAAACAAAACATTTTAATAAAAAGAACAAAATCTGTTTTTGATCGAAGAAAAAAGAAAAGAAATTGGAAAAAATTTTGTTAATTTACTATTTGTTAAATGAAAATTTGAAATCCAAATGAATTTTTTAGAAAACTTATCGATAATGACAATAATTTGTATAAAATAAAATAAACGAATAAAGACTTAAAACGTTTTAATCAAAAAACGAGTGGTAAAATGAAACGGTTTATGAAATAAAATTCTTTTAAAAAAAATTAAAAAACGGTAAAAATTATTTTTTATTAAAACAAAACAGATTTTCTTGAGGGTGTAAAATGTGGGTATAGATAATGACACGACAATCAAATCCACACCCATTCTCAAATCAATACTGAGAATTATCAATAACTTTGCTCCTATTATGATTTTTTGGGTGAGAAAAAGTGACCTGATCAAACTGAAATTTTTATGAGATACTTATTTTACTACGCCCTATCATATATAAAAGCAATCAGCAACTTCTGGCATGTCACTGTCTCACGACCGTCTGAGCTTAGTTTTAAGTACAACGCGGCTATAATAATTACGTGATTTTTTGAGTTGTTCCATTTTCTGCTTTAACTGTTGAATTGCTTGAATAGATTGATTATTTGATGTTTCCAACAGTTGAATTCGTGCAACGGATTTATTATTCAATGTTTCGAAGCGTTGAATACAAAAAAATATTAATATTCCATA